TGTCTGGTCTTATCTTCAACTGTCATTATCACACTAGGGGTTTGATTGTGGTAGAAAATTCAAACTACTGTAATCGACACTGACTACTAAGAAGTTAGAGTTAAACAGCTTAAGATTGCAACTGCCCTTAAATCTCAGAGAAATACTATCAGCAATCCTAGCTAAGACTGTTTTCATTTTGCGTAAGAATATTGTATATTAAAAAATGTCAGCGTATATTATATACTGCCGAATGTAAAACGGTTTGACAAGCATATTATCATCCAAGAGATTATGAGCGTAGTCTTTGCTTAAATTAACTTACTCATTCAGTTGTTACTTATAACGTAAAAGAAATGATTGGATTGCTACTGAGCCAGAATACATCATACTGGTTTATCCACGACACCAAAATGATGCCTGATTCTTTAAAAATGCATGCATAGCACTTTAAAATGTTAACCATGTTAGGGTTTTCACGATATGTAAATATGTACTCAGTTATGTTTGTTACCGGTAAAAACAAATAAATCTAAAGGTCGGAGTTCCCCTGATTAATCGGTAATAAACAATTGTTGTGCGTACTGACACGTGAATGAACAATCAAATATTTACACAATGGCATGATAGTTAGGAACCCGCTCGTGCTGTTCCGTCAAGCATGTAGCAAAGGCTTAGAGAGATTGTAGAAGCTGTGGCCATCTCAGCAGTCCGCGTTGCAAAGCGTCTGCGACACCTTTGAATCTTTTGACGTCTACAATTCATCTTCATTTTATCTGCTAGCAGCATACGCAACGGCTAGTGTGTGTTTGTATATGTAACATTATGAATTTTTTTTTCTGGCAGCAAATTTTATTATTGTGATACACAACAAATTAAATTGGCAAGGGTTAGGCACCGTATTAAATCGCTAGACTGCAAGGGGTATGCCTGATTAATTTTTAGTATCCGTGAATAACGGTCAGACAGATGGACAAGGTATGGAGGATTTGGGGATTTCACTATTTCAGTAGCGGGAAAATGACATAGTCATAATGATGCAGAGACAATATTGTGCCATTAATAATAACTACCACAAATCGATTTTTTAGAAATCGTTATTAATAAGAGCGGAGTACAAGAAATTATTTTATTTTCAATTAAGCTGTATTGTATTAATAATGGTAAATTTAGTCCTGATTGGCTAAGCTAAATAAGCTTGTGGCAGACACAATTTGAGTTTTCTCCCTCGTATAAATAGTCAGTCTACTTTCTGCCTGAGGCAAGACGTTTTTAGCTTAGGGTGAGTTGAAAGATCCTCTCGCTATAATTTGTACAAGGGCCGGATGCCTGGAAATTGAGGGGCGCGTAACCTTCCATGTACAGAGTTTATACTACGTATAAGTGAACAAGTCTCGAACAGCACAATGAATTTATCTTACTCTCATGGGTCATAATATTTTATTAAATGTATTCCTTTTCAATTTGTACATCAAATGTTCTGATATTAGTTGGACATTTTTGTTTGAATGTATTGTCTTGATTGTTAGATGAATCATGTATTCTAGGAATGTAATGCATTCTTTTCTATGCAAATTTATAAGAAAGGTGTGAATTGTCTCTTTGAAACTATATTAATTGATTAAATTTTTATTAATTCATATGCACGATAAGATGTGAATTCTTTAAACCGAGAATTCATGATATTGGCATCAATAGCACCTGCAGGCCAACAATGATTTGTAGTTCATGACAGGGCATATGGTTCCTTGTGTCTAGATTATGTTAGTTCAGTTATTAATATTAAGTGCCCCGTTAGGAAGATGTATAATAGGATTGTGGTGTATCAGCTTCAGGCCGCGAATTGACCAATATTAGGCGGAGTGTCCGTTGAATTACGATATGACAATTTAAAACGTAACAAGATAGTGAATAATGTTTTCACCAGGAAGCAAGAAACAAAATCCCGACAAATAGTGGGGGAAAGGGAGAAAACAACCAAATTACAGGGAGAGGAAGGAGAGGGGGGATTGGATCTACTCTATCACCAATGTTGAATTTGGAAGGACTAGCAAGAAACCAGGTTATGCAGGCATGCCGGGCAATTGAGTTTGATCGCTTGCTCGATTTCATGATGAAATTTGTCTTCTTAGTTTTAAACAAAATGGCTAATTGCATTTATTTAAACTTGGTCATTGTTTCTAAGAGAAGTGTATCCTTCAGATGTCATGTTTATTTAACTTTGTTTATATGATTGATTAAAGTTTTATATTTTAATGGGGGTGGGGTGCTCGTGTTGTTCAATTATATATCCCTAATCAGATCTTGTTTATTCCAGCCATTAATTTCACGTTTTGTTATTTACTTGATTCGAATAATAATACCGTAGTCGTTCATCCTCTAGATAACGATAACCACCATCACCATGTAACAGTATGTATTTCCCCGTGTTTCTTCACTGGTTATGCTTGTTATTTATAAACGATCTGGTATATCTTAGGTATTGTTCCAAGAACCTTTAATCAACCATGTACGTTGATGTATGATTGATGATTATAATTTAGGTTATAGAGTATACAGCTTGGCTTTACCCAATTGTGCACCGTTCAAAAACCTGCAAGCTTCACTTGGTCATTTTCGCTTCGTGAACTTCAGTAGTAAATTGTAAAGAAAAGAACCAATCATTTTTTATTACATTTATATATTAGGCAATTCATTAATTGCACTTTCAGAAGCTGATATTGTCCTGTCTAGTTTAATAGCTGCTAAGCATAGTGTACATTAGACAAAAGCAGGCTTATATTTTAGCACAAGGGATGTCATCTTAGTTAGCAGTGTGCTTAGATCATGCACAAGAACAATATCCAAAGAAATGTCAGCCCCATTACATCAAAGTTGTGTAGAAGTATGCAGACATTCTCTCCACTGTGCATGTTCCTAATGCTAACAAACTTCACCATACATAAGTCACTCTCGCAAAACTACATAATAACAAGTGAGCTCCCTCTTTATCGTTTACAATTTTTTCCATGACAATCGACATGGTCATGCGGCAGAAATATAATGTCAGCCTCGTGAACTTAGTTGGGAGTCCTCACATCAAACCAGCTACGGGATATTTACTTTGGCCGGGTAATAATTTTGCCACCAACGCTTGTTTGGCAAGACATGATCTGGCAACATCAAGGATAAATTTTATATCCAACGATTTCTTGTTCAACATGGCACCAGCGCCAAAGAGAAAAGAGCAAAACTGCTATATTTCGCCGTCATCGACTTTTCTGTCAGCGAAGCTTCAGTTGCCCAAGCAGTGCGGAATGTTTTTAATCTCTGTTTACGCGTTGATCAATGCCCGTTGTGATCTGAGAAAACCAAACCGTGCCGAATCTTATCATGTAATGGTCAAATTGTTGTCGTATGTACATGATTGCGCCATCTGCGGATGCTTGGTCGTTTATGATGCACTCAGAGATTTCAAGTTCGCGCTTGGATCGTTCCTGAGGCAAGTTCATTGCCAGAGATATCCCCGTCATTATCCATCCAGATCTTCTCAACGATGAATTAAACTCCCGCTTTTTGTGGCCGTAGCCCGGACGTGTGTAATCTTGTCGTGTAGGATGATGTGATGATTGACCGGCACAATAACCTCCTCCGAATATTTTCTCAATGCCAGCACTTAAAAATAATCTTGTCTTAGCAACCATAACGGAAATATTATAAGAGGTCTTCGAACAAATGTTTGCACCGCTGATCAAACCAACAAAATATATCACAGCCATAACAGCTTAATGGAGAAGACCAAACGTGCCACAGTGGAAGACAATTCAAAAGGAAAAAAAACACTCACTCGTGTTTGAAAGGTCAAACAACAGCATGCAGTAAGACTTAGGTACCAAGAGAAAACGATCAGAGAAAAAGGAACCAAAAAGCCTATACGAATCGCCTAGCATGTCCACTCATGAACCAACGGATCTAGAAAAAAAATGTCTTCAAACAGTAGCAGAAGAATCTGGCTTAAATCCTAAGTAGGATTGACGACCGCCTAAATTATATACTAACAACTAATACTAATATTCCCATACTTATTACCGCTGTTCCAAGATCCTCCCACTGGAAAACTTTGCTGCAGAAATTACTCGTAGATGCGGACGCAAGTGACATTGATACTCAAGAGCCCACGATCGTATTCAGTGAGTTTACAGGGGCAGGGAGAGGGGGGAAAAACAAAGTATATCTGATGACAGAACCAGGTATATGAAACACTAATGAAAATTACGTTATTATCTCTAGACTTAGTACAACTTTTATCTTTAGAAAGAAACAAGCTAAATTGAATAAAGACTGCAAATTGAATATGTTTACCTTCACAATTCTATTAGTACCATCCCTATATCAAATTAATTTTTAACGTGGGCAAAAAAATTTCCGGATATAGCGAAATCATTCAACTTTGTAACGTGTTTTTCCTTTTTGGACTTCCTTGTTCGTTTAATATTTCTTAATCCAAATTATGAGAATTGAAACAATAAATCAAGTGGTATGACTATTTTGTAAATATTATAAGTCAGTGGAATGGACATCAGCTTGGAAATGAATAACATGAACACAATGTACTGTTGCTAGAGCTGCCTGGTAAGCCTAATATCAGGGATTTTTTACAGTTTGTATCTATGATACATATTTTATCATAATATTATTGTGTGTTAATGGTTCTTGTTTGTAACACACTTCTCGAACACTAAAATATCCACATGATATTCTCAAACATGCACACACACACATACACAGAATTACATTTCAGAAAATGGGGACAATTTGCATTCTACATCATGCCCCGCCCATTCGGACTCTAAATAATTAGAGATCTTAATGCTAGGCCTGAAAATTAAATTTCTTGATATGTCAGGTTGCAATAATATATTATACATTTTTATATACGAAATGTAATTGCAACATTTCAAGAAAATTGTTGTAACACGGTTGCAAATGGAGAATACTTGCCAATATAGTTTTGGTTTCATTCTATTTACATGACATCTGTAGACCGTTCCGGTGGCCTAGTTGCTAGAGAGTCCGCCTCGGAAGCGGGAGGTCGCGTGTTCGAACCCCGGCTGAGTCA